GTGGTAGATAAAGACACGTTGTGCCAAAACCAGACGGTCAACTTTACCAATACTTCTGTCGCCACAACCCGGAACGGAATGGCACCTACTTACCAATGGGATTTTGGCGATGGAGATACCAGCTCGTTACAGCATCCGTCGCATACCTATACAACAACAGGCATTTTTCGCGTAGTGATGCGTGTCACCGATTTTGTGCCCTGCACTGATTCGTTTGTAAAGATCATTTATGTGGATACAGCTTCCGGCTTATCATTGATCAGCACCGATACTGTTTTTTGTGCCGGGCAGCGTGTTGAAATGAATGCTTCCTACCTGCCGGTCGGGTTTCAGGGACTGACCTGGGATTTTGGGGATGCGACTATTATCCAGGGCGTCAATCCTGCCATCCATGCTTATGAAAGTACCGGCCTTTTTACCGTTACGGTCAAGGCCGCTTACCGTGTTTGCCCGGATACTACGGTGACGAAAACCATCTTAGTGAAACCGTTTCCACGCATCAATATAGGGCCGGACACTTTTATGTGCCCTAATGCAGGAGCAATGACCCTGTCTGATTATATCAACCGCAATAATACTTCGGCATCCTGGCTTTGGAACACAGGTAGTACCCAATCATCTCTGTTAATAACTGCCCCCGGCACTTATTCGGCCACCGTTTCTATAGATGGTTGCAGTGCTACTGATAGCATCACGGTCAACAAAGATTGTTATGTGGATATTCCCAACTCTTTTACCCCTAACGGAGACGGCCTGAATGATTATTTCTTTCCGCGTACCCACTTGTCGCATGCCGTTGTGCAGTTTACTATGCAGGTATTTAACCGCTGGGGGCAGGCCATTTTCGAAACCCGCAGTATCGACGGTCGCGGATGGGATGGCCGGTTTAACAGCGCAGTACAGCCCCAGGGTGTGTACATCTATATCATTGATGTGGTATTTGCCAATGGCGTTAAAGAACACTATACCGGAAATGTAACCTTGCTTCGTTAATATTTTGAAATAAATACAGCGTAATATATTGATAAAGCGTTAATTTGCCGGATAATGAAAACGAAAAATACTTCTTTGTTACTTGCCTTGATAAGCCTGTTCTTAACATCGGCAGTATGGGGGCAAAACCTTGTGATAAATGGTGATTTTAACCGGGCCGATGCTTTTTTTATTACGGGCTGTTTAAATATTGAAGCACAGTTTTCAGAGGCCACTTATGGTGGTACCGATGCGACGAACATGGTCGGGGAAGTGGATGATGAATCCTGCTTTTACCAGGATGTATGTATCCTGTCGGGCGTCAATTATATTTTCTCCATGAAAGCCTCACGCCGAACAGGCAACGGAGGATCGCCCGACCCGCTGACAACGCATCTCCGCATAGAAGGGCTGAATGCAGCAAATACTGTAGTAGGCGCGCCCCTGGTATCGCTGAACTTTGTACGGACGAATACCACCTTTGCCTTAACTCCTGTTACCGGCATCCCGGTTGTCACAATACCCGCTGGTTCTCCGATCGTACGCTTACGTATTTCCCTGCGCGATTCTACTGCTGGTAATTCTACGCTGGG